GATATTACAATCGAAGAATATATAAAAACAATTAGAATAAAAACATTCATTGCAATAATAAAAAATATTTTAAGATAAAAATCTATTAATAAAATAATACCTAATCTCTTGAGGAATCTTAGTTTCAAAATTTATATTGACAATATGAAAAAACAAATAATATTGATAAAAATGAAGAGAAAATTGAAAAGAAGAAAATAGAAGATCTAAAAAATTTACTTTAAAACAAATGTCTCAAGAAGAAAAAGTTATTATTGCACCCAACCAATACTCAATTTAATAGAATTATTAACTGGATTGACTAATAAAGTTGGAAATTGATTATCTATAACACAGTCATTAGTATTAAGAATTTGTTTTATTTAATAACATTAAAACCTAAAAAAATGGTTTATTCAAATTTTTGTTATTACTGAATAATTATATCCAATAATTAACTTCTTATGAATTAAATGAAGATGAACTTCATTTAACAATTGTTGTTTATTATTTACATTAATTAACTAAATAAATATAAAATATTTATAGAACTAAAAGGATATGAAACATTATTTCATTCTATTCAACAACTTCGAATTTATTTACACACAATATCTTAAAATGTGTCTCAAGGTCATTCCATTTATCTAAGATAAAGAGAATAAGATTAAAGAAACTGGTAATTGAATGTTTATGATTAGTGTTATTTTAATAAATGAACCATAAATGGATGAGAATAAAATTCTTCCCAAGACATTCTATCTTTTTCTTCATATACCATCAACTTCATAACTAATTCAATAATTCCAGAGTATCTACAATCATTTATAAACATGGCTGGAAATTGAACTTTCTTTTTTTCTTTCATTTGTTGAATAAACTCTGTTTTTGTTGTAGCAAATGGGAATCTACAAGTTGTTAGTCTATATAAGCAAACACCAATAGAATATAAATCACTTTTTGAAGAATATGTTGTTTGTTCAAACATTTGAGGAGCAGCAAATAATGGTGAAAATTTTATTGTATCCATTTCATCAGCTAGAGACCTTCCAAAACCAAAATCAGTAATTTTAAGTAATGGAAATGGTTGATGATGAATTAACAAGAAATTTTCTAATTTAATGTCTCTATGAATAAATCCTTTTTCATAATGTAAATATCGTTGACACAAAGCTATTTGTCTAAAAAGATCCATTACTAATTCTAATGACGGTAATTCACCTCTTGAAGCAAATTGCTGAATATAATTATCTAAATTTCCTCCATCACAATATTCCATTATTAAAAAGGAATTAGATAATGTTCTTGGTGAAACTAATCCTAAATCATAAGCAAATGAAAATTGTGAAGTACAAAATCCAATAAATTTCACTACATTAGGATGATTACATAATCTAAGTATTGTAGCTTCTCTTTGTAATGTAGAACTATTAATTCCATTAGACTCTTTAATTGCAACAATTTCATTATGAGAATTACTACATTTCATTACTATTCCAAATCCTCCATTTCCAATTGTTTCTATTGGTTTATAATCAGTAATTTCTGATTGTTCTCCTTGAATAAAATGAATTAAACGTTGTATTATTGGGTGTTGAACTATTTGTTGAATTGAAACTCCATTTTTTAATGAATTAATGATAATATGAGCGTCAGGAATTTTCCATATTAATTCTAAGTAATGAGTTATAACAATGTTAATATCACTTTTTTGGTTTATAATGTACGGAATAATAAAACATGAAGGTGAGACTAATAAACGAGGAAATGGTGATGCAGGATCTCTAGACAAAACAAAACTCTCTTCAGTGAAATATATTAATGTTTGAATAGACGATAAAGAACAATTAATATGTAATAAATCACCAGCTAAAAAATTCATTTGATCTTGAGTAATATGTTGTTTAAAAACATAAGAATGAATGGAAATTGGATATATTGGTTGTGTAAAAATCCATAACTGTTCTTGTTCTTCAAATTTACCAAATAAAATATTATATATTGGTAATATACAACCAATATTAAATGAATAAACCTTTTTTAATAATTGAATATAATTAGCAATTTCATGAATACAGTGTTTAGGTAAATTAATTTGAATTAATGCGATTTCTGTTTTATTTTTTAAAAGTGCACGATGCCATTCTAATTCTCCATCATCACCAAAATAGTCAATTAATGTTGGTTCATTTTCAACAAACATAAAAAAGTCTTTATATTCTAAATCCTTAATTTCAACCATATATTAATTCTTTCAAAGTTCTTTATAAAAAAAAACCCTTTAATAGCAATTTGTAATATTCGTTCAACTAAAAATAAATTTAAAAAAAAAATAATTAGGTTGTTATTTACCCACATATGTAAATCCAGAGAAATCAACTCCCCCATTTCTTGGAACATATTGTTTCTCTTCATCAATTGCTTCTTGAGTTTCTTCTAAAAATTCTTCAGAAATCATAGCGAGATCTTCTTTACTAGTAACATTAGGAATAAAAGGTGGTTTAATTTTTTTAGCTTTTACCATTTCAAAATCCATATTTTTAAAGAATGGATGTTTCATCATAATATCAGGATTAGTAAGTCTATCTTCAGGATCTTTTTGTAATAAAGCTGATATAAACTCTCTAATAGCTGGTGGTGTATTTTTTGGGAATCTAACATCATCACTAACAATTTTTTGATACATAGTTTGAACATCATTATCAAAGAAAGGTGGTAATCCTAATAACATTTCATATATTAAAGTACCATAACTCCACCAATCAACAGCAAAACCATATCCATTTCCTAATAAAATTTCTGGTGCAAGATATTCTGGAGTTCCACAAAATGTATTTGTTTGATCTTTTTCAGTTAAACCTTCTTTACATAATCCGAAATCAGTAATACAAACATGTCCTTCATCAGTTAATAAAATATTTTCTGGTTTTAAATCTCTATAGACAATTCCAGCATCATGTAAATATTTAAGTCCAATTAATAATTCTGCAGCATAAAATCTAGTTCTTTCAATAGAAAATCTATGTTCTCTTTGTAAATGAGCAAATAATTCACCTCCATTAACATAATCTAAAATAAAATAAAGTTTATCAGGTGTTTGGAATGAATAATGCATTTGCATTAAAAATGGATTTTTTGATTTAGAAAGTACATTCTTTTCAGCCATTGTATGTTCAATTTCATTATTATCAATAATATGTGTTTTATTTAATATTTTCATTGCATAAATTTGACCTGTTGCTTTTTCTTTAACTTGCATAACTTTACCAAATGATCCTTTTCCAATTAATGATAACATTTCAAAATCATCTACTCCTACTTTATGTGGTTCACTTGATTGTGAATTTGTATTTCCATCTCCTAAGTTTTGAGTTAAATTATTATTAGAATTACTTTGAATTCCTTCTTGACTTGATTGTAATGAACTTCCAGACATAGCTGATAAATTTTTATTTCTAACAAATCGAGAAACAGCTTGAATCCATGAATCTCTTTCAGCTTTTGATTCTGCAGCCATAAAAAATGTTCTGTTTGGTGTTACAATTCCAAAACAATTTTTTTTCTTTTCATCTTCTAATAAAACATCTGACGCTGAATTAACATCAACACATCCTTTAGAATTTACATCTTTTTTATCTTTAAAATAAAATATCATTCCTGTTGGCGTTAACACACACCATCTCTTTTTCCATGACTTCCAACTTCCTCCTTGTTTAACAAGAAATCCTGATTTTACACTGTCCATCTTTCCCAAATTTTAATTTTTTTTAGTTCTTCATTTTAAAAGTTATATTCCTTTCTTCTTATTTTTCAGTTCTTATCATATTCCAAGAACTTTTCTGTTATTTTTCTTTTTTAAAATGTTCATTTCACATTTTTACTTTTTCACCTTTTTCAATTATATACCATTATTGATAAATTTATATGAAAATACTTCAAAATTAAAATGATGTGGAAACAATTTGTATGAATTAGTCATAAGAAAAAGTATTAGAACTTACAGCTAATAATAATCAATTTTAAAGTTCTTATGAAGTTTTATGAATTAAACAGAAAATGTGATATACAACAAAAAACTGCAATAAGGGAAAAAAAAAGAAAAAAAAAACGAAACTATTATTTATAATAAATATGAATAATGATGAAGTACTTCTAGAAAGTGATGGTGTTATTATTAAACAATCTGATTATAATAGATTAGAAGAAGATCATATGCTTAATGATGTAATTGTTAATGCATATTTAGGTGAATTAGAAAAGCAATTTATTAGTTGTCATTTTAAAGTCTTTAATACTTTCTTTAGTGCTAAAATTCATTCTATTTGTAATGTAAATGATGATGACCTAAGAGAACAACGATATAATCAATTAGTAAATTGGTTAAAAAATGATGAAAATTTAACAGATTTACGATTTTTATTATTTCCATGTCATTATGAATCACATTGGTTTACTATAATTGTTTGTAATAAAACTCAAAAGTCTCAACCACAAGAAGATTGGGAAAGAATTAATTCAGATGAAGAAGGAGCTGTTTTTGAAATTGAAATTGGAAAAGAAAAAAGTTATTGTGAACATTATAAAAAAAGTGATATTGGAACAGAGCTTCAAGACCCTCTTTCTCAAACACTTTTAGATTCTCCATTTAAAAAACAAACAACACTAAGTTTAAATAGTGAAATTAATACGTCACCCAATTTATTTTTCTCCTCACAAAATAGTACTGAATTAAAAAAAAATTTAAGTCAATTAAGAGATGCTTCAATTTCTATTGAACCATGTTGTGAAGATTATATTGATTCACCATGTATTCTTGTAATAGATTCTTTAAAAAGTATTTCTCAAACAAATGAATTAACAAATAATATTTTAGAATTTATTAGATGGGAATATAAAAGAAAAGAAAAAGAAAAGAAATGGGATGAAGAATGGGAACAACATAAAAGAATTCTTTCACTTGATGTACCTCAACAAAGTAATGGTGTTGATTGTGGTGTATTTATGTTATATTTCATTCGTAAATTTATGGAATATACTCCATCAGATGGAACAAAATTTAAACAAATAGTAGATGATATGGATCCAAAGAAAGAACGGTTATATATTAAAAATGTAATTCGAGAATTAATTAATAGAAAAACAAATAAAGTAATGTTAGATTGAATTTAATTTGTGAATTAATAAATAATAGTTTTTTATTAATTTATTATAGTTTAAAATAAAAAAAAAATTAAAATTATTGTCAAAACTAAAAAAATTAAATTTTGATATTTTAAGAGTTCTTGTTTAAATTGCATTGTGAATATCTTTCCTCTTTTCTTTTAATTCCATAAATTTGGTGTTTGAGCTTCAATAAAAATTATACAACCATTCATTAAACCTAATGAACATTGTAATGGATTTTTCTTTGATACTGCAAAAGAAACAACGTCAGAAGAAGTAACACGAATAGTTTTGAATATTTCAGAATAAATAATACATTTAACTACACTGAAATCTTTACTTTTAATAAAAATTAAACGAGTATTTGAACAAATAATAATAAAACTATCATCATGTGAAAATTTTGAATCAATCAAACATTCATCTGGAAGTAAATCATTAAATTGATATAATATTTTACTTTCTGTTATTTCAATAATAAGTACACTGTTTTTAGTTGTAATAAGAATAATTGGTTGTGAACAACTTCCATCATAATTAATAACATTTAATGAACTATAATCAATTGATATTGATTGTCCAAATTGATTATTAGCAATTGGTGTATAATTTCCTTGATTAAAAACATCAAGAGTAAGTAAATAAGTACTTTTTAATAATATTTTTTTAACTGAACATTGATGAGAATATAGTTTATTTACTGTTGTTTTTTCAACATTATATAATACTACATCCCCATTACTTAATCCAACACAAAAGATTGAATTGTCTGTTTTACAAAAATCAGTACAAACAACTAAATCTAAAGCAGAACTTTTAGAAGAATATATTGTCATTAAATTCTTTTTAGATTTTAAATGATATAAGTACAGTTCATGTCCAGTTCCAAATAGTCCATAAAAACTATTATCAGAAATTGACCCACTAATTACACATCCTGGTTTTAATAAAAATGAACGTATTTGAACTACTTCTGGTACAATAGAATTAATATTTTGATTAGGCCATAAAGTAAAAGTTAATAGTCCATTTTGATCAATAGAAAATATTCCTTTATTAAGTTCAGAATGCATTAAAAATTGAATTGGACTTTTATTTTCATTTACTTTAGCTAGTCTATAAAGAGTTTTAGTTTTATTATTTTCTAAAGCAATATTTTCTTTTTTATTTTCTATTCTTTTATGTTTTTCAACTAATTCATCAAGTTTAACATCTAATTGTTCAATTCTTTTTTGACATTCTTCTTTTTGAAAAGTTAATTCTTTCATTTCAAAGATATTTTGACATAAACCTATTTTTTTCTCAATAAGACAAAGTTTTTTTCTTAATTCATTTTGTTGATTAATCATATTTTTATGTTCATTGACATTAACTGTTTCTTCTATATCCATTTTTCCATTTTCTTCTTCATGAATTTCTGTTTTTTCATTTAAAAATTCATAATTAGAAGGTAAATATTTTCTAAATTGATTTAATATTTGAATAGAACCATTTTCTCCACAAACAAGAGTTGAATTGTCATTATTTAATGTATATCTAGTAAATACTTTTCCTTGTGTTGGTCTTAAAGAAAGGTCCTGACAAATTTCTTTTTCAAAATGTTTTAAAATAATAAAATTATTTCCTTCTAATCCGCAGAAAATAAAATTATGATTTGGTTTAATATAAATAATTTTATTTGGAATAGAATATTCAAAAATATCTCTTGTTTCAATATTTACTTCTATTAAATCATATAAACTCCATATTAATATTCCTTTGTCTGTAGCACATAAATCTACATCTTCAATAAAGTCACAATCATTATATTTAATTAAACATTTCATTTTTTCACTAACATTTCCATTATTTAATTCTTTTGATATAAATCGATGAATTTCTTTATTTTCTTCTATTTGAATAATATTAAAATTCATATTTTCATCAATAATATATATTTTATTTCCATGTACATGTAATTTATGTAATGCTTGTTTTCCTATTTTTTGAACAAATGCTTGGCTTAATGTAGGAAAATCATAAATAACAAGAACACCTTCATTTGTTATAATATATAATTGTTTTTCATCAATACAACAACATGTAGCTTTTCCAATATCTTGAAAACTATTTTGACTAAAACTACCTAAGAAATCAACTTTTTCATCTTCTATAATATAAAACTCTAAAACACTTTCATTATAAATAATAAATCCATTAGTTCCATTTGTACAATAATGTGCATTTAATAAATTAATTGATGAATGATCTAAAGAAAATGCTGATGAAATTTTCTTTTTTTTAGAATTAACTAAAATAGCTTGTTTATTAATAAAGAATATTAACATATTTCCATTATTTAATAAAAGTTCTTTTACTATTTCTGAATGACTATCTTTCATATCCCAAATATCAAATGATGTTATTAATTTTCCAGAACCATTCATAGTATCATTTTTTGTATTCATTGGTTCTACACGAACTTTTAATTTTTCTTGTGTATTCATTGGAATTTCTGAAAAGAAATGTTTAACTGAAAGAAGTGTATTTCTTTCATTGTTAATAAGAATTCGTTGAAGTAAAGATGTTTCATTAGGAACTAAATAAAGACCCCTATTCATTGAAGAATGTTCTTCAATCATTCTATCTAATTCATTTGATACTGCTTGTTTACGATATTCTTCTGTTGATGAATAAATTGATGCAGGAGGATATTGATTAAAACTTTTTAACTGAGCAAGTGTATTTATTTCAGTTAATGAATTAAATAATTTAAATTGATTTTGAAGATATGAAAGAGCAGAAGATGGTTTATTTTCTAATAACCAAAGAAAGAAATTTTTTCTAATACAATAAAGAATTCCTAACGTATCAGATGAATTTTGATCAGTAAATGATAATAAATATTCTTCTGCTTGTTCAAATTCTGCAATAACTACTAAATGAATGAAATATAATTTATCAAAATAAACTTGTGTTTCTTGTTCAAATATATGTTTTGAACGATTCCATTGATGTTCTTTGAGATATTGCCAAATTAGAAAGTTAATAGAAGCAGTGTTTGTGTCCATTTTAGGGAGTAATTTTTAAGTTGACTTTTTTTCTTTTTTATTTTAATTTTTTTTTAAGTTCTTTTTACTATTTTTAAAAGTATTATTTTTTATTGATATAAATAACAAAAATTTTTATTCAATAATATTTAACCCTTAAAATTCCATAATTTTTAAATATACTTTAATTATATTACAGTTTATAAAAAGAAAATTTAATTAAAATGAAGTGATGACTTCCATGTTAGACACTGACTTCTGAGGATAACATTTGTATTTGTCTGATCTCTTTTCTTTTAAATAAAAAATTAAAAAAAAGAATTAATGAAGGTGATAAATTTATTTTTGAAACCATTGTTTAACTGATGAAAAAAAAGGAATTGACTCTGTTGATGGTTTTATTTCAAGTAATTTTCTTCTAAAAAGTTCACTTTTAATTGGGTCAATTGGTTGTAATATAAATTGTTGGTTTAACTCTTCATGTCTTTCCCAACAAATAACATTAGTTTCAGATTTGTCACAACCACCTTTAATATCAAGAGCAAGATTAGCATGAGAACAAATGATAATATATACACCTTTACCAAATGTTTCAATAAACCAATGATTAGTTTCATCATTAGGATTAGCATTTGTTTGACAAACATTAACACCAAAATAATTTTTACCATCTTCCCTACCTAAAAACTTACCACTATGAACAGCACGAATTAAAACACAACAAGTATGTCCAGGTTCTTTACATTTAATTAATTGAAACATTTGATTTTCTTGATCATTAGAATAAAAAGTTAAAGCATTAACTCCATCATAGTTTTGACCACCAGCAATATCTATTCTCAATTTTGGTGCACATCGTGGAATAATCTCATAAATTTCAGTACTAATTATTCCAAAACAAATACTTGTTTTTTCTTTTTCTAATTGATATAAAATGTTTAATTCATTTTCAATTATTTCTAATTCATTTTCAAAATCATTTATATCACTTGATTGTTCATATTCATTATCATCTTTAGGTAATGTTTTTATTTTTAATTCTAATAAATCAATTCTTCTTTTAAAATCATTAACTTCTTCTTTAACAGTTCCAGTGTTATTAAGAATTTTAATGTCAAAAATTAAATTATTAATTTCTTGAACTCTTTGTGTTACTCGTCTCAAATAGTTTCCATCCATAAAATTCTTTTTTAGTTCTTTTCTATTTGATTAATAATTTGAAACAAGTTTTACTTTTTATTAAATTATCAACCAAATGATAAAGAAAAATATCCTTCTCTTTTCTATCTAATGAATCTAATGATTTTCGTTCAAATGCTCTGATAATGTTCTATTTCTTATTTTATTTAATTTTTAATTAACAAAATACAAAAGAAGGATAAAAGAACTTAAATTAGTGTTTTATACTACTGTTTGTATGAGTGAAACCCCGAGACGTAGGTTCTCTTTTTTTACAAAAGCATCAAACGATAAAAAAAAGAGGGCATCAACCCATTCATTTTTTAGAAAAGAATCACCAAACATTTCTTCCGTAACTCGTTCTGAACCAAGTACTCCTATTTCTTGCTCAATTCCTACTACTCAACAACGTCCATTAAATCAAATTCATCCTTCTCTTTCTTCAGAACATTTAGTTAAACAACCTGGTTCTTTAAAAGTAGAATTGGATTTAGATAGTAGAAAGTCATCAGAAACAATGCCAACTTCAGAAACAAATTCTCTTACAGAAAGTAAAATTTATAAAGGAACAAAAGAAGTTAAATCAATTCAAAAGTTTTTTGGTGGAAGTAAATCATCAGAACTAAAAGAAAAAGAAAGTTCTAAAACAGTACAATTATCTAAAATAAGTAGAAGGTCTTTTATTAATCTTAATAAATATACTAAAATCTCTTCTTTTGAAAAAGAAGATAATCAATTAATAAGTAATATTCAAGATACTTTGGGTATAGGATTTATTGAAAATGAACAAAATTTATCTTATGAAAAAGAAATTGAAATTATATTTTCAAATCAAAGTATTCCTATTTATTCTTCTTTAATTCCTAATCTTGTTTATCCAAATAAAAGATTAATTAAAACACAGTCTGCTTTTAAAGTTTTTATAGATTCATCTATTCAACATAAACATAAAACTTATGATTGTTGGTCTAGTTTATTATTACCTGAAGAATTATGGACAGATAATGTTTATCATCCATTTAATATTATTAATGAAGATTTATCTCCTAATTATCATATTGAATTAAATAGTAATTCTATTTCAAATAAAACTGATTTAAATCAATATGAAATAATTAATATTGATGATAATTATAAATTCTTCAAAGAATTATTTTTTAGTAAATGTTTGTTTTCTAATTTCTTTTTATTGAATAATTTGGAATAAAAAGAAAATATTTATTTTTTAGCACAAACTCAGTTTTATGTTTTTCGTGATAATGTAACTATTTTATGTTATCAAAGACTTTTGTTTCTTCAATTTATCATCGTTTTTAATAATAAAGGAATTCATAGAGTATTATTAACTAATGATGATGAATGTTCTAAATGGTGGCAAACTGTTAATGGATTTAAAGAAAAACCAATTAAAGTAAAACCAAAAATAAAGTTTCAAGAAGAACTTTTACTTTTTGAATCTAAATTAGTTGTGACTCAATATAAATTTGGGGTTATCTATATGAAAAATAATCAAAGAAGTGAAGAAGAAGCATACGAAAATAATGAATGTTCACCATCATTTTGGAAATTTATGAATTTAATTGGAACCAAAAAACCATTAAAAGGATGGCAAAATTTCAGTGGAGGACTTGATACTATTAATGGTAAAACAGGTGAGTTTATGTATTACCAATACTATGATAAATTTAATTTTGAAATTGTATATCATGTTGCCCCATTACTTCCTTATTACAATGGAGAAGAACAACTTGAAAGAAAAAGGTTTATTGGAAATGATATTGTTGTTATTATATTTAAAGAACAAAATGATGAACATGACTGCTTTGATCCACGAGTTATTAGTTCAAATTTTAATCACATATTTATTGTAATCACACCAGAAAGGAATGATTCATTAAATGAAAGATATAAAATTAATGTTGTGTGTAAGTCATGCATTAAACCATTTCCTCCTTTTATTGAAGATAAATGGTATTGTCATTCTATTGACTTCTCTGATTTCTTTATCAGAAAATTAATAAATGGAGATAGAACTGCTATTAACTGTAGTCCATTTATTGAAAGAATGATTCATTCAAATGAGAGATTACTGAAACACATTGTGACATCTTCCTTATAACTCTTGTTTAAAATTAAATTGAATTAATTTATTTGTAAGAAGTTGTTAATTAGTAATTGTTATATTACTGTAAATTCTAGAAGTATCTATTAAAGATGAATGAATAAGTACTTTGTTAATATTTGATACTGATGTTAACATACAATTACTTGAGTTGATAATACATAATAAATCAAAGTCTTCTGGTAATTTCATAAATAATTGAGCTTTACAATTTTCTATAATAATTTGATTTAAAGAAGGTTCATCTGATAAATTTAAAGTTTCAATTCTATTATATAAATCATTTAAATGAATTTTTATTAAAGAAAATGGAAGAAGAATATTTTTATGACAGAGAGAATATATTTTTAATGAAGTTAATGAATTGAATTGAATTAAATTGATTCTTGAAGTAGAAGAACAGTTAATAATTAATTTTTTAATTCTAAGTTTTTTTGGTAAAAGTAATTCATCACATTTTAATTCTTGAAGTTTTAATGGGAATAATTGATTATTATATGAAATACATGATGGATATTTTCTAATAATATTTATCTTAGTTAAATGTTGTAATGACTTTAAACTTGTAAATTCAATGTCATAACATTGAATCTTTAATTCTTTAAGTAATGAACATTTTATTAAATTAAAACAATTTGATGTTTCTTCATCTTCACATTTTAATGGAATTGTTATATCTTCTAAGAATAAAGATGTTAAAGTTGAAGGTATATTAATATTTTTGTATAATCTAAGTGTTAATGAATTTAGTGTTTGTGGAAACACTAATTGATTATATGACATTGTTTTAAAAGAGAGTATATTATTTGGAAGATTAGATATATCACAATAATCACTTGATATAGAAGTTAATTGAGTAAAATTTTGAATATAAGAGGGAATTGTTTTAAAAGATAAATTAGAAGGAAAGTATAATGCATTGAATTGTGTAGTTAAATTTCTTGATTTATTTATAACTTTTAAATTTTTTCCATGATAAGTGAATAACTGAAAATTTGTATCACCACCAGAGAATACTCTTTTATAAAAAAATACATGAGGTAATCTTCGAAGAATTGATTTTGAAAGATTGTTATCTTCATCACTTATAATATCAAAAATAATCTTTTCAATATCACAATCTTTTAATCTATCATATATTTTTTGAGCAGAAAAGCCAACTGATTTATATCGAAAAAATGAATATCGTTTAAGGTGATCAAGAATAAACATTGCCTCATCTGTATTATTTATATCAACAATATAAATTCGTTTTAATTGATGATATGGTCTTAAATCTATAAACTCGTTATAACCTATAATTATTTTTATTGAAACTATATTATCATATTGTTTTAATTGAATAATCTGTGGAACAGTTATTCTTTCAATTCCTAATTGTTGAATATTTTTATTAATTATTGAAACATATAATACATTGGGAACAGTTATACTTTCAATGTTTGGGATAATATTGAGTATTTTATTAACTTTTCTATTCATTTTAAAAACTTGATAAAGTTTTTTACTTAATTTTATTCCATAAGGAAATTGTTTTATAATATGTAATGTGTCTTGACATTTTGAATTAATAAAAGAAAATTGAAGGAAGTCAACATAATCAGAAAAATATAATAAAACATTTGCTAAATAAACCTTTTCAAGAATTGTCATCTTTTCTTCTTGTACTTTTTAAGTTCCTTCTGAAAAAAACAAAAAAGAAAAAAGTTAATTTAACTTCACTTATTCTAAGTAATATCTACTTAATTATTACTCAACTATTCTCTTAAGAACAAATGCCATATTCTCTGCTAAATTCTTCATTGTATTTTTAGCTTCACCATCTTTTTCTACTTCATGTTGATCAGCAACGTTTGGATTATATCCATCATTCCAATAAGTTGATCCAATAGTAATCATACCATTGATTCCAAACCAATGGTTGATAGTATCATAGACATGAATAGCTCCTCCTCTTCTTGCCATAACAACTGCTGCTCCTACTTTTCTGTTCAATGCTCTACTTTTAACAGACAATGGTACGGTTCTATCAATAAATGTCTTAACAACACCAGGCACATCAGCATAATACGTTGGGCTTCCAATAATAATTCCATCTGCAGCAATTATTTTTTCAAGTAGTTCATCCATCACAGGATCCTGTTGCCAACACTTTCCAGTTTTCATACAACCCCAACAAGATTTACAAGTTTTAATATCTTTCCTTCCAAGTTGATAAATTTCAGTATTAATTCCTTCCTTTTCTAGTCCTTCTTTTACCCAACTTAACATAGTAAAAGTATTACCATTTTCTCTTGGGCTACCGTTAATCAATAATACCTTAAGTTGTTTTGTCATTCTTTTAATGTTTTACTAATTGAAAGATCAGATTCTTAAATGCTTTTCTTTGTTCAAAACTTCATAAAAAACCGAAAAAAACTTCAAAAACACCGAAAAATTTTTTTCGTTTAGTTATAAGCTATTTTTAGAAATTTGTTTTTTATTTATGTTATTTATTCCAAAATTAAATAAAAATTTTTTTCAATTAGAAAATAAAAAATAAAAATAAAAAAGAACTTAAAAATTTTATATTATTTTTTACCATGAAAGCTATTTTATTTGTTATGATTTTTGCTGTATGTTTTGCTGCTGTTAAAACACCTACAACAACTCCAGTTGTTCAATCAAAGAAAACACAAACACCATTAAAAGAAGTAAAACCATTGAATGGAACAAAACCATTGAATACAACACAGCCATTGACTATTAAAAAACCAATGAATGAAACAAAACCAGCAAATATTACAACTCCAGTTCTTAACAATGAAAAGAAAGAATTAAACGTTACTAAACCAGAAAAGAAGAAACAAAATAAAAAGGAAGTTAAAACAAATAAAAAACAAAACAAGAAAGTACCAACCAATAAACATAAAAAACTTGTTAAAAAATACCAAAAGCAATTAGCACTTACATTACAAAAGATGAGTTTAGAAGATAAACCATCTCATAATCGTTTATGGAAAGTAGAAAAGAAATTTTTTAAACTTCACAAACAAGCACATAATGTAATGGATAAGTTTGGTGATCTTAAACATTCATATGATATGATTTAAACATAATTTAATTCTTTTTTCTTAATATATATAAGAAAATTAATTTAAAATAAAAAAAAATGAATTATTGTGGAATATTCATAATATATGGTCCTTTAAAATCTAAAGGTGTAAATTTATTAATTTGCACTTCTTTTTCTAAAGCAGAATAGTTATACCCACCATTCTTTTCATCTAAGAATGATGTTTTATCGAATGTTATATTAAATGAACTAAAGGCAATTGTATCATCCCCATAATTCAAAAATCTTGAGTTACCAAATTTAAAGACATCATAAGGAATAAAATAATATCCACAATATTTAGTATTCTCTACTGATACTACTGGAACAAATAACTTCTCTAATTCTTGATATGTTGTTGGATCAGTAATAATTTCTTCTACTGTATTTGATCCATCTTCCCATACCATAAGATAGAATTTTGCTTGACCTTCTTCTGAATTAGTATATCTTATTTTTACCATTGGAGCAGATGTATAAATCACTTGAACATTCTTTTCTGATTGTAAAGCAAATCGTAATTCTTTTCCTTTATTCTCTTCCCTTGCACAATAATCGAATCCAAGTGCTGTAGCATATTCCATATTCTTTGCCATTTCAGAACATTTTAAGATAGTACCATCATTATATCGTTGTAATTGAACAATTCTATAAAATCCATTAGCACATTCAGTTGCGTTCATTGATTGTTTAAAACATTCATAATCAATTGGAATCCAATTTTGATAGGTTCCAAAGTTAGGACAAAGAGCATCTTCTTGGACAGTCGAATGATTAGACATCCAATACCCAGCACTATGTCCAGTAAATCCCCAACTATTCTTTACAATAAACCCACCTTTAGAATATTCATTTATCTTACGGTGTTGAGCATTTCTATTAATTCTAAAGTCATCATTCCATCCAACAATCAACATAGAATGAACTCCTGAAATATATGACTTTCCAGTAATATCAAACACACCATTATTATCAAATGATGATATTTCTATTTCATAACAATAATCACCTTCACATGGAATTCTTTTATTAACACAGTCTGCATTCTTTGTTTGATCACTAAGTCTTGAACATTTTGTTCTAAAAACTTTATTGTAAAGTCCATGTGTCCATGTAACAGGTAATTTAGTATTAACAAGTAAATTTTTTACATCTGAAATAGAATATACAGTAGTAATATTATTAACAGTAAATTGTACTGGGTTTGACTCTAATGTCTTATTTAATTCTGGACAAATATTCCATTGATCTTCTGTTGGTTTATATGGACATGCATTTTCTGGTACTGCCCATTTATTGTTTACATCTTTAAAATAATACAACCACTCAGGAAGTCCATCAGAGGCATTATGAGAACGTTGTCCATTTGTACAATAAGGACTTGGATTAGGTACAGAACATGTATCAATCATCTTAATTCCAAAAACTTGTTCACTAAAAGAAACATATGAAGTTAAAGAATGACCATGATTCTTTTTAGCCTCAGAATTATAAGCAGACTCTAAGAAACCAGAAGTAGCAAAAGACCAACAGGTTGAACGAGACCCTTGGTCTTTGGCTGGGGTTAAAGCTTCCCATGGAATAATAAATTTGACTGGGAGTTGACTGACAGTGTTATATGTTGGTTGTTCAAGGTCTTCCTATGTCATTGTTAATTATATTAAATGAGATGAAATAAACGGACAAACAATACGAGTATTAAGATGAACAAAAATTCCTACATAAACACACAATGAAGCTACTACCAAAGTTACCAATGATACAAAAAGAAGAATAAAAAATAGAAAATCCTTTCCTTGACGAGGAAACAAGATATTACTTTGCATCATTTTGTAGGAAAATACTAAGAGATCTAAGATGAATGATTTGGATGAGAATTAAATAATAAATTAATAATAAAATATAGTTTTTAAAACAAAAAAATTAAAAAAAGAAACTGAAGAAGAAATAAGAAGTATTGAAATGGAAGAAGACTCAAAGGAAAAAGAACAACTTAAATTTCCTAACTTTCTTCAAAGATACACTACTCAGTATTATGTCCCTAATATTGATGATCACCAATACTATGACCAATATATGTTTGACCATTCTAATGGATTAGTTATTATGGGTATTGCTCAATGTCATCCTGCATGTAAAGCAAAAGAAATATCTATTCAAATTGTTGTTGACCAAGGGAATAATAGACCTGTTAAAGGAAAACATAAAACCAATGCAATTAAACTTAAATCAAAAACAGTTATTGTCAAAATTACTGCTGATGGTGTTGAATATCCAATTTATGCAGGATGTAGTGGTAAATTGATTGAACTTAATGAAGAGCTTCTTAAGAATCCATCATTAATCAAAAATGACTCTGAAGGAAAAGGGTTTATTGCTATTATTCAAAGATCTACTACTGGTAAAGTTGATGAAATCAAAGCAATGAATTTAAAAGATTATTGCATGTTAAGAAATATAGAAGTACCAAAATATATTCCACTACCAGTTGCTAATGAGGAGTATGATATTGATGATTATAGTTAATGTCATACTTATTCTGATTGATTGAATTTATTTTGTATCTAATAAATTCTAAATAAGTTTTTAAAAAGGTTCATTCTTTTTTTTGTTAGGTATTATAGTATGTCATTGGAATATTATTTATATTAACTACTTATTGGTTAAATACAATTGTGTTTAATTCTTTGTAATATTATTGTTTAAAAGATGTTTATTTATTTTGTTAATTGAACTAATTCTGGTGGATTGTATTTATAATAAACCATAAAAAGGTTTCAAAATAACTATTTATTATTGTTAAGCACATTCTTTGCTTTAATTTTAAAATCATTAGAAAGAAATACAGTTCATTTTAATAAATTTTCATATACCTCTTTTTTCTGCTATTATAATGAATGATTTATCTATATAAATTTAATTAAATAATATTAAACAAACGTAAGACATCATCACTACTTAAATCAATACTATGTTTTCTCGTTTCATTTATTTTATTTTCACTAACTAAATATTGTTTAAAATCAACTCTTTTCTTTTGTTTTAAACATTCTATTAACCAATCCTTGTTAATAATAGGAACATTCTTAGTAGATGCCCACAGAATTAATTCTTTTGGAATACTTCCTTTGATATGAACTATAGTATTAATTAATGGTGTTAGTTGAATTTTGAAAGTAGCTCCATTAACAATACATTCATTTTTTAAATTAAAGTCTACTTCTCCATCGCAATAAATGCAATCACCACTAAAAATTTTTTGTGTTGTGCATTGATTTCTTGATGACTGGAATGGATTTCCAACTACAAACTTAGAGAGTTTTTGAATAGAATGGAATTGTTGAATCAACTTATTGTCATATTGAAAATTTATTTTTTTCTTTTCTTGCTTTTGCTCTGGTTCTTTTTTTTGTTGTTGTTCTTCTTCAAATAGTTCTAAAACTTTATCTATTTCAATATCCTCATCATCACTACGATTATTCACTGGAGATTTATCAATGTCTATGAGTTGTGTGTCTGAATTTACTGAGTTCATTTGAGTGAATTGAGTTTTAAAGAGAGAAGGTGAAGAAGTATTTGTTTTAGTTATGAATGATGGTTTGTCTACAACAAGGGTGACAGGAATTGAAGCTTTAGGAATATTAACGCAATGTAAAAAATTTTGTTTAGTAATAATATTATGTGAGTGTTGTTGAAGGTTGGTATTTCTGACAGTTGTGTATTTTTTTTGAGTTACTATGTTAGGCAAGGAAGTAGGTTTAGGAGAAGGTACTGAAGGTGTCTTTTTGTTAAAAGGAATAATGGAAGATGATTTTGGTTTGGTGTTCGTTGAAATTCGTTGTATTCTTCTACACTTTGAAGGATTATCAATTCTTCGTTGTTTCATAGTAGCGAAGTCAACAAACCGTTCTTCATCTATTTCTATAACTTTAAGGTGTTTAGCATAAGATTCCTCAATTAATTTATTTTGTTTATCTTCATAATTTATCCATCCTTTATCACTATACCATTGCCATTGTGCATTAGGGTCTATGACTATAACATCTTCTTCAACTGGTACACTTTTGAGAATCTTATTAGTGAAGTGAAGGGAAGACATTTTGATTGGTTTTAGTCATTCAGATCCTTTTTTTAATCTGCTTTAAATGATTAAGTTATAATAAATAGTATTTGTAGAAAAGAAAAAAACTAAAATGAAAAGAAAGTCTATATTAAAGAAACAATAAAAAATGAATAATACAACTACTTAGAGTCAGGAACAATGATGTTGTTAATTACTCTTTGAACAATGTCATAAGGCTTAAAACTGAATTGAATTTTTTGAAGACTATGTAATAAAGTAATAATACTTCCAATAGCACGTAATTTTGAGAAGTTAAATAAATCAAGTTCATCAATTTTATTTGGAATGCAATTGATATTCACAATGTCATGCATCCAAATAGTCATTATAGGAATGCCTTCTTTATCAGTACATATAGATCTATAATTTTTATAATTATTTCCTATTTCAAATAATATTTGAAGCTTCTTATAAAGTTGTAATTTACTCTTTTTAACTTTAGACCAGACGTCAGGGTGTTTAATAGATATTGTTGTTAAAGTAGAATAAATCAAGTAACATGTGTTATATCCTTTCATTTCATAGCAAGAATTAGCTACTTTAATAAAATATTCACAGATCTTATGGTTTTTAAGAATATCCATGGCTTTAAGAGCTAAAAACTCTATTTTTTGACAAGACTTTATATAAGCTTCTAATGTATTATTCTTTCTAGATAAATAGAAATCATGACAATGAATTTTTTGAAATTCTGTTAAATCAAATAAAACTAGTTGTTCAGCAAGAAATACTGGGTTTAGTTGAATTAAATTAACAACTTTAGTTTTTTGATCTTTTGAATAAATTGGGTCTATAGTAAAGGTTTCTAATAATATTTTTATTTGTTGTTCATCTCTAGTTTCTTCTGTTACTATACTAAATAAAACATCACGAGCAACACTTTTCATATATGGAGCAACTTCAACCTCAGTATTTTCATCATGTTTGTGATCATAATTCTTTAAGAAATTAAGAAACTTGTTTTTGAAAATAACAGTTAACTGTTCACTTTGAAGTAATGGAGATGAGTTTAATTCTTTAAAAAATTCTGGTTCAACTTCACAAATCATTGTAGCCATTATATCAAGCCATGACAATATTAGTCTTTCTAGTCTTACATATTTCCAACTTAAAAAAGCTTTCATTTCATCATCTTCAGGGTGTTCTTGATTAAAAATATTATAATAGTTCATTATTGTGGCATAAACATCTCTGTGCTTCATTACGTATGGAAGAAAGTAAATAAAATTTCTCATATATTGTTCTTCATGATAATTATTATCAAATATTAAATCAAACATTGTTTCATCTGAAGCTGCAGTAATTTCACGAGAAGAGACACCATCAATGTAATAAGGATCATATTTTTCTTTCTAATCTAAGTTAATATCAAATATTGGCAAAAAGAATGAGAATATAAATAACAAACAACAAATATAATTTCATAGTTTTGAGATATTGTTTCATAAAATAATTTTAAATGTAACATTTTCCCAGGATCATCAAGAATTGCAAATCGACTAATAAACGCATCACAAAGTACAGTTTCAGAAATCGGAAGTAATACTTTTATCATAACTTCTAATAAATGAAAATGAGATACTTCCATCCCATTACATAAAATTCTAGCAGATCGTAATAATTTAGTTTTTGATTGACTAAGAACTGAAGTAATATTACTAATTTCATCAAATAAATATATTTGTTCATTTTCCAATAATTTTACCAAGTGTGAACAATCAATATTAGTTTGATTTGTTTCTATGTCTTCTGGTATATAATCTTCTTTATATATTTTGTCAATTAATTTGGTTAATGGTTTCTGGGAATTATTAATTTTGTCAATTAGAGTAACAACGCTAGGTGGTAAACTGACTAAGATGTTAGCCATTTTTTTATTTTGTCGTTTAATAGGGTCTCTATCAGTTTTAAAAAGAAGTGATGAAACTCGTGTTAATGTTTTTCTTACAGATTTACGAGGTAAGGATTTAGGTGAGTATGTGCTCATTTCTGTACTTCCACTTCTAGTCAAAGTTGTTGTCTCATGAAGACTTTTAAACTCTGAGGTACTTGCCAATGACATAGTTTTTCTTGAAGTAATAAATTTTCATTTAAAGTTTTTTTGTTTTTATTTTTTTATCAAAAAAATATATTTTATATTTATCTTCTCGGAAATAAAAGCCAAAAGAATTAATGATTAAATAGAATATTATCTTTTAATATTTCATCTATAACAAAAAGTAGAATAAAAAACATTTTTTTTTTAAATTATAACAATTATTTCTTATTTTTTTTTTGGGTATTTTCTCTTATAAACTTCTGATAGAACTCAAAAATACTCTGAAAGAAGGATTGCAATGACGTTACGTGAAACGTCGTTTTATCTTTCATTTATTCAACAATCACGATGTTATTACGCCAGTTTTCATCCAAAACCAAGACCTGGAGGTGGATATTATCTTATTATGCAAAAGTTTAAAACAAATGCAATTCTTTTTGACACATTTGATGAAGATCATTTATCTCAAACTTTTAGACTTCGTGTTGTTGATCACCAAAAACGATTTCAATCTTTACACTTAGGAATTGAACCCTTTTCTCCAAACAATTTATATCTATCGTCAACACATCAACCGTCAATTCGTTTTCGATTAATTAATAAAAAATTTGAATGTTTAATACAACATGAATCTCCTCAAATAGGTACAACAGAAAATATAACGAATTCTTCAGTTAATGATCACTTTGATGTATTAGGTGAATTGTATGCTGGAAAACAAACAAAAGAAGGAATAATGGTTGTAGTAAACACTGCTCAACATTTTCTCTATAAGTCTAATTTGTCAGGAATTTATGGAATTGGAACATATGCAGTTCCATTTAAACCAATTCATTTCATATCAATGGTCAATGAAATACCAAACGTTGACATTATTCCTGGAACTGTTTATTTTAAAGCTTGTCTTCATCAAAATTTTGAACATTCAACTCTCTTTAAAATGGAACAAGGAGAAATTGGTGTTAAATTTCATGTAGTATGGAATAATTCACCAACAATGAAAACAGTTTCTGGTGATTGGTGGGTAAAGGCTCTTGGAAATGGGGAAGGTGGAAATGATATTGTATTTTGTGAAGAACAAGAAGCTAACGAGTTTTGTATTTCTGGTGGAAGATTAGAAGTCATAGAAAATGGAAAAATAAGGACATATATTGGATTAGGAGAGAAGAGAGATGATGAAAGTTTCTTTTTAACAACATATCCTTTAGATTTATTAACTTTTAAATTAGAAGTAAAAATTATAAGATATTTTGATAATCAGGAAAAAACTACTCTTGAAGTGTAGTAGTAGTAAGAGAAAACATTAGTTCTGCTTTTAAATACATTTGTCAACTAATTATGTGCTTAATATTAATTAATTGTTTCAAACAAGATTTATATTGTCAGTTTGTTGTTGTTCATATTTTTTAACAATAGTAAAAGGAATATTTATTATTCAATTTTCTCTTACTAACAAAATATCTCGTTCTTTTATTAATTTTATAAACATCCATTTTATTTTTATTGTTCTTTTCATTTTTGAAGGTTTGGTTAGTGTGTAATGATATTTTAATTACTATTATTTTAAATAATTTTTACGCTAAGGGATTGGGTCTTATACTAAAATAAAATCTATTGTAACAATAAAAATCGTTCTAATTGTAATGAAATTCTTGTTTCATTTTGTTTGAAGTAACACAGAAAATACTTTTTAAACAAATATTTCGTTTATAAACCTCTATTCATAGAGAACATTTCTAATTACCCTATAATAAGAATAAGTAAATTCAGTTTTTTTGCAATGAAGCTTATATACTTCTCAATAAACTATAAACACATAAAAAAGTTATCATTCACAGTCTTGAGAGTGTTTAGTTAAACACATTAAATGCTTTTTATTATCTCATTTATTTACAACATTACAACGTTCCTCTCATTTTTTATCAAACCATAATATTGGTAATTACTCTATACATTTTATAACCTTTTCATTTGCTCTTTAAAATGTTATTCAATAAGATATGTCGTAGGAGAAATAAATTTAGCAAGAAATATAACTAATTTTTATGAGAATATTGTTTGTAAATAGTCATAAACATAAAACTTACCTCATTACTCTTTGTACCAATATCTACAATTATCATTGCAAAAATAGCTTTTTCATTGTTATATTATAAGCATCAATTATAACATATATATAACTAAGTGCAACTGATGTAATTAATACTATACTATTAATAAATATCATACTACGACTTCACACCTATTAGTCGTTAAAGAAGTTTATAAAAAATAAGAATATCTTGATCGTTTCTTCAATCAAAAAAGAAGTTTTGAAAGTTGAATGATATAAGAATAAAATTATTTTATAAATTAACATGATATTAGAATATAGAAATAATGTTCCAAACATATTAAAATAAAAAAAGAATATATAAGTAAACTAAAAAGA